ATTTTAAAAAATTACAAACAAGCAATTAAGATACAACCTACACCAGTTCTGGGAAAAAAGTACATGGTCAAATTAAAGATGCTGCTCTATCCAACTACGAAGTTGTTCTGCGCTGTTCTGCTTTGCTCTTAGTTGCACCGCCCAGAGTCCTTCTTTGAGGTAGAATTTCCAAGTTTTCAAATGTGGAGCAGCCGATCTGAAAATCTTGTCATTCCCAACTGACCATATACCCCCAAAAGCCCATTATCACAATGTCTAGTGCAATTTCTGGAGGCAGGTGTTTAATAGTCAACAAAATCTCATCATAGGCATAAATTCCTCTCTGTTTATTTGGCATGAGGTGATCCCAACAGAGGAGTGCAAATGGACAACCCCAAAAGAGGTGGACAAGGGTTTCTTCAGTACCCTCTGAGCAGAGGGCACAACTGTATTCTGGTAACAACATGCTTTTTCTATGTAGAAGGTTCCTGGTGTTATGTCTGTCCTGCAGAAGAAGCCAGTAGAAGATTTTATGCCTCAATCTGCATGCAGTACTCCAAAGACTTTTGAAGATGATATGAGATGTGCCTTTTCCCATAAGCAGGTAGTACATTTTCCTGGAGGAGTACTGTGAAGAAGACCAAGAATATTTCCATTGATCATTATCTTCAGTATCCACTCTATTGTTAATCATCTGCAGAACCAAGTTGTATTGGGTATATGCCACATAAGAGAGTGGTCTATGGAATAAATGGTTGATATCCTCCTGTGGTTGCAAATTGTTCAGTGTAGTGTCTTTGTCTAGAGCATAAGAGAAGAGCTCAGGAAATCTGTTGCAGAGTGCTTGTCCATTCCATTTATCTATCCAGAACATAATGGTATATCCTTTGTTTGCCTTGCAAATTGCATGGTCCTTTTATAATGGGAGAAGCTTCAGAACTGCCTTCCACCAAAATGATCCTATCATCCGCTATCCCGGCAAATAATCTTGATAATAAGTCTCCCAAATAATGTTGACCCAAGGGATGTCTTCCTTATTCATGAATTTGTGCAAATATTTCATAAGAAGTGCTTGATTGTGGGTGGCTAAGTCTAGCACCCCCAGTCCCCCATGAGTTTTGGGTTTACACACTTTCTCCCAAGCAACAAGAGCAAAGCCAGTATCCTTAGTACCATATTTCCTCCAGAAGCATTGTTTCAGGTAGATATTGAATTGATTGATCACAACTTTTGGTCTCATCAGAGAACACATGAATAAGGTGGGCATGCTTGTGAATACTGATTTCAATAGTGTGAGTTTATCACCAGTGGAGAGCATATATAGTGGAGCAGCTGAGCAGTCTATTTTCTATCCTTTTCATCATGGGTACAAAGTCTTCAATCTTGGGTTTATAGATCTAGAGTGGCAAACCCAAATATGAATGTGGGAGGGAACCAATTTTACATTCCAATAATTGAGATAGCAGATTCATCTTGGTAGTGGGGGTATTGATTGGGATCATGATGGATTTAGAGTAGTTTACTTTCAACCCAGTATATGCAGCATAATATAGGATGAGGTCTCTAATATGATTCAGTTGCCTTACATCAGCATTTGCCACCAAGATAGTATCATCAACATATTGTATGATGGGATAGTCTGGGCAAGACTGATGGAGAAGAGGTGATTCTAGCAAGGAGTGTTGCATAGCTTCATTGAAAATAGATTGGAGGAGATCTGTAGCCAGAACAAATATTAATGGGAACAAAGGGTCACCCTGCCTCACCCCTTTTCTGCATAAAAAGTGCTTTCCAGGTATTCCATTAGAACGACTGATGAGTAGCCTATGCCATATATCATTTTAATCCAGTTGATCCATCTGTTGCCAAAACCTTTAGCTTGAAGGATATCAATGATAGTATCATGATTTATCATGTCAAAGGCCTTTTCAAAGTCAAGCTTCAACAGGATTATTTCTTTTTTTTTGACTGATAACACTAATGAATGTATTCATAGGACCAAGCAAGACAATCTTGTATGCATCTGTTATTGAGAAACCCATATTGGTTTATGTGGACTAGTCTCAAAATTACTTTCTGTAGTCTATTGGCTAGTAGCTTTGTGATTATTTTGAGAGTGCAATTGAGGAGGAAAATGGGTCTGAATTCAGCTGGAGAGGATGCAGACTCTGTCTTAGGGACCAATGTGATAAAAGTGTAGTTAATACTTTACAGGTTTACTGTCTCCTTGTGGAAATCTTCAATTTGTTTATAAAAATCCTCCTTAATTATCCCCCAACAAGCTTTGAGAAAGGCAACATTAAAACCATCAGGGCCAGGAGCTTTGTCAGCAAGCTTGTTTTTGATAGCCTCATCAATTTCCTCTCTGCTAAATGGAGCTTCTAGCTCCCGAAGATTATCCTGGGGCAAATCAGATGCTGTAGGTGCAGAGGATTATGTGTGGTATCACAGGTTCCCATCCTATTTTTAAAGGCTCTATATAAGATAGATGCCTTTGCTTGGTGAGTGTCATGTTCCTCACCAGTTTCATCTTTGAGCATAGCAATACAGGTGTTCCTGAATTTGATGGTAGCCTAAGCTTGGAAATACTTAGTATTGGCCTCCCCCACCTTAATCTGCCTAATGGTGGCCCTTTGTTTCCAGTATAAACGTAGTTGTTTCAACATAGATTCCAGCTGAGCTTTCAGTATAACTCTGCTATTTGATTCTACCAGTGTTAGTTCCCTTACATCCTCAATATAGTCATGGCAGAGGATCATGAAGTTGGTGTTCTCAATGATTTTCTTCAGATCAGAAATGTTCCTGGCCCAGATCCTTAACCCTTTCCTCAATCTCTTAAATTTAGTGGCTATGGTTTTTTGCACTATCCAGATGTGGTAGTTCTTGACTCCAAATTCTTTGAACCACCTCTTGAAAATCAGAATGTTCCAGCCAGAAGTTCTCAAATCTGAAAATATTAGCTCTAGGAATGGATGTACCAATTGTTATCATGATAGACCCATGATCAGAAGTGGTCTTAGCAAGGGGGAATGCCATAGTGGATGGAAAGCTTAGTGTCCAGGATTCTGAAGTGAAACACCAATCTAGCTTTTCTAGGAGAGGGGCATCCTGCATGTTACTCCAAGTATATTTCCTCCCTTTCAGTGGAATCTCAATAAGAGCCTGATTACTAATTGCTTCATCAAAGGCCAACATGTCTGTGATGTTGCCCTCCTCTCTGTTCCTGTTGTGAGGATACCTGATATAGTTAAAGTCTCCAAGCACCATCCAATTGGTACCATCCTAAATTTGCACATTTTTAACCATTCAATAAGGTTTCTTCTATCATTGTGTTGACAAGGACCATATATGTTAGATAGAAGCCATGAATCTCCATTGGGATTGGATGTGAAAGTGATAGATATGGAGTAATCATTAGAATGGGTCAATTGGCCATGAAAGATTTGATCATTCCAAGAAAAAATGAGTCCACCTGATGCACCAATAGAAGGCATGAATGCAAATTTATTGATTCTTCTGGGACATAAATTTTTAATGTACCCACTATCAAAATGTTCTTTCTTAGTCTCATGTAAACACAGAATGGCACATTGCGATTCTGCAATTTTATTTCTGATAGCAAAACACTTATATGGGTCATTGATCCCCCTAATGTTCCAATTCAAGATTGTCCACTCCCTAGCCATCATAGAAATGAAATGTTGCAAGCTTGCTAGCCCTGCTCTGTCTTAAATCAGTACCCGGATGAAAGGAAAAGATACTGCAAAGCTCTTTGTCAGGTAGAGGCTGATGAGAGAGGTGCTTAGGAGCAGATAACACTTGAAGAGCAATAGTTCTACATAGCTTGGTGACAAAGAGATAAAAGACCACAGACTCTGCAATTACATATCCACTGGTACACATGACAGACAAGTTCAACTTGACCCAAATGAACATAAAGGTGAACTGCCTTACAACCAAAATTCCGGTCTGCTACCAGGCATTGTCTACTTATTTGCTCTGCTCCTTGGAGGTCTTGGAGTTCTCCTTGCTTGTCTGAGTGGCTTTGGGGCCACCCCTTGTTGTAGCAATACTCTTGTGCTTCTTGTGCTTGCTGGTAAGTAGCTCCTCCGAGGTGTCCTTGTCAGAAACCTTACAGAAAGAAGTATTAAGACTTTTAGCTACTTTGGCAGGTATTGGTGGTGGAAGAGCATGACAAGCAAGGCAATTTCTGTCAAAACATATATTCTTTTTATAGCCCTTGGTAAGTTTTTGGATTCTGCAACTTCTTCTTACCTCAGTTTCAACCAGAGGAAGCTTATCCTTTCTCTTTTTGTTGTTGTGTAGGGCTGAGGTAGTGGATGCTGATGCTGAGGCCTTGGAAGCTGAGATTAATGGAGAAGTGACTTCTTGTTCTTGTGACTCCTGCTCAAACAATGAATCAAATGATAGAGGTGTTTCAGTGTATGGGAAGACTTCAGGTATTGAAAATGGGATAGTAATGCTGCTATTTGATCCTTTTGTGATGATCTCCCAGATGTTAGACTTAATACAAAAAAAATTACCCATTCAAAATTATCTAGTGAGAGTAAGGTAACTGACAAGAAGTTGGCTCAATCTATAGGTACATGAATAACATTCTTGTCTCCTTCTTTTCCCAGATGCTCAGTCATCTGGTCTCGTTCTACTACCACAGCAGTGATCACTGGATCCTCTTCATTGTTGCTGATAAGCACCATCCCTGCATGAATGGTGTGTCTTTCATGAATGGTGAGCCTGGAATAGTCCGCACGTGAGGCGTCGAAGGCAACGAGGGCGGCCAAGCTCAAGCGGAAGAAGGTTCATATCGTACGGAGGATGAAGGGCTACATCATCCTCTCCTCTTCCTCCGACGGCTCCGATGATCCTCCTCCTCCGACGACACTTGTTTTGTAGGGCTCAACCCTCAGATGAAGGGTATGTCAGGCAAATACTTTGCCGACTGCAATGAGGAGAAGAAGAGTGCGCACGCGAAGAGTGACGTCTTGGCGAAGCAACTATGGGAGTTCAGCGAGGAGCTCATCAGATCCGCAAAATGAGTACTCAGAATAGGCGTCTTTTGCGATGATGTCGAACTCATGGTACAGATGGTTGGTTAGTGTGTAGCAGCAGCACAAGCAGTAGCTACAACCTACAAGTAGGAACGTGTCACTTGGTGAAGTGAACCAATATTGTTCAAGAATAAAAATTCCATCCTTGTTTAGGGTCGTGGCTATGATCGAATCGTGGTCTTGTTAATACCCCTTCCGTCTAGCACCACATTCATTTGAGGGGCAAGCTTTTTTGGATAGAGGGAGTATATTCGTGTCTAGTATATTTGTGTCGTTGGGGCTGGATTGATGAATCTAGTTGATCATCTTGCTTGCTTTCAGACTTGTCTTTTTACTGAAACTTTTTACTGTCACATATACGTACTATTTACAGATGGTTGCTGAAAAGTTCAGAAGAACTTCCTCTGCTTTGCTTTGTTACGGCTGACAAAATTTAGAAGCTAGAAACTACATCTTGACTAATGTAGCTATCATAGCCTATAGTTGCCACGCCTCAGCGCTCTCCTCGTCCTCCACCCACACGCAGACAAAGGTGGTGAACCCGACAACGCTGGTGACGATCACGATGGCGAACACCAGCGGGACGAACACATCGAGGACTGTCCGGCTGAAGAGGCCAGCAGGCATGCGGCCCATCGAGCGGCAGCTCGATGCTGCCTCCAGTGAAAATTTTGAAATGTGGGATGGGCTTTAGGCACATCTAACAATTTCTGAAAATCTCTAAGGGCCCATGTGAGTTTATTGGCACTAGGTGTAGTGGAAAGTAATTGCTCAAAAAAAAGGTGTAGTGGGAAGTTTAGTCCCACCCCAGAAGTTGGAGAGGAGTTGGACCTCCTTATAAGTGTTTCTCTTCTACATGCTATCGGAGCTTGAGAAGAGAAGAGGCCCTCACGCACTCCTCCTCCGTTGCCCGCCCCGGCACGGCACGACACGCGTGGCACGGCGTGGGTTGCGCCGTCTTCATCATCACCATGTCACAGTCCGACGCCGACTGTCGCACTCCTCTACGCTTGTGTCGTGTTCATCATCACAATTTTTCGGCAAGTGGCTTTGCCGCTGCACTAAAACCGGATAAGTTTACCGGTACGTACTTTAAGCATTGGCAGACTAAGACCACTTTGGGTCGCCAGTGTCTCCACGTGAACGATTGCTCATGAACATGTCTGTGTCTCCACGGGAACGATTGCTCATGAACAGGAGAAGGTATTCAGGGAGGCCACCGTCGTATTTCTCAGAGCATTTCTTAGTGGATCGGAGATAAATTGGTCGACACATATTTACATGTGCATGTCGCCAAGGACTTGTGGGAGGCGCTCAAATCTAAGTTCGGAGCCACCGATGCCAGGAGAGAGATGTATATTATAGAGCAGTTCCACGATTACAAGATGGTTGAGAACCATCCTATATTGGAGCAGGCTCATGAGATAATATGCATTGTTAAGGAGCTTGAACTTCTTAAGTGCGATTTACCAGGCAAGTTTTTCACAGTTGCATAATCGCTAAGCTCCCTAATTCTTGGAGGAACTTTGACAGCACTCTAAAACATCAGAGGCATGAATTCTCAGTGGAGGATGTCAATGGCCATCTGAGTGTTGAGCAGAATTCGAGGGCAAAGGACTCTTATGGAAAAGGGGCCGAAGGGACTTCTGTCGCCAACATGGTGAACTAGAGGAACTTCAACTCCCACAAGCCCAAGGGTCCAACACAATACCGACTTTAAGAAGAAGGGTAAGAAGGCCTTCAAGAAGAACAAGAAGAATGAGGGTTGCTTTACTTGTGGTTCGGTTGAACATTGGGCCAACAAGTGCCCAAACAAGTCTAAGAAATCAGGACATGACTCCAAGTCTGTCAACATGATTATGGGCAACAATGAGAATGGTGCATCTGGCTACGGTAATTTATTTACTATTTTTCAGTGTTTCAGCCCACGGATTGGTGGGTGGACACATGTGCAGGTGTTCATGTGTGTGCTGACATTTTATTGTTCACTTCTTACCAGGTCACAGGCCACGGGTCCGTGTTGATGGGGAATGTCGCGAGTGCTTCTGTTCATGGTGTTGGCACGGTCGATCTGATGTTTACTACGGGAAAGATCATGTAGCTGAAGAACGTGCAACATGTCCTCGCCATCAAGAAGAACCTCGTTAGTGGCTCCCTTCTCTGTAGAGAAGGGTTTAAGTTGGTCTTCTAGTCTAATAAATTAGTTGTTACTAAATATGGACTATTTGTTGAAAAAGGTTATGAGAGCGGAGGTATGTTCCACCTTTCCCTCACATATTTTTGTAATAAAGTCGTGAACCATATTCATTCGGGTGTTAATGAATCTAAGGTTTGGCATTCACGTCTTTGTCACATTAGTTTCGGTGTTATGACGTGGCTAGCTAAGTTGGATTTAATCCCGAGTTTCACTTTATACAAAGGTTCTAAGTGCCTTTGATGTGTGCAAGCTAAGCAACCTCGCAAGCCTCACAAGGCTGCGGAGGAGAGACACTTGGCACCATTAGAACTCATACATTCTGATCTTTGTTAGATGAATGTTGTGTTGACTAAAGGTGGAAAGAAATACTTCATGACATTGATAGATGATTCCACTAGATATTGCTATGTGTATCTGTTAAATACTAAAGATGAGGCTCTACACTACTTTAAAATCTATAAGGCAAAAGTTGATAATCAACTTGAAAGGAAAATTAAATGAGTCCAATCAGATCGTGGTGGAGAGTACTTCTTGAGTGAGTTTGATTTTTTGTGCGAAACACGGCATTATTCATGAGAGGACGCCTCCATATTCACCCCAGTCAAACAGGGTTGCCGAGCGAAAAAAACGTACTCTAACTGATTTGGTTAACGCCATGTTAGATACATCGAGTTTATCCAAGGCATTGGGGGGGGGGCTATATTGACGACATGTCATGTCCTGAATAAAGTTCCAACAAAGGATAATGAGGTCGCTCCCTATGAGAAATGGACGAAGAGAAGGACAACACTCTCGTACTTGCGTACTTGGGGATGTTTGATGAAAGTCAATGTGCCTACACTGGTACGCGCCGGTGCTATACAAACGATTTTTAATCACTTTATACGATGGCATTTGGAACCGTCACCTAGTGAGTGTGGGCAATGGGGGGGGGGGTCCTTCCCACACGACCCTGAAACCGTCGGGGATATTGTCGGTGTCAAAACCGGCAGATCTCGGGTAGGGGGTCCCAAACTGTGCATCTAAGACGAATGGTAACAGGAGGCTGGGGACACGATGTTTACCCAGGTTCGGGCCCTCTCGATGGAGGTAATACCCTACTTCCTGCTTGATTGATCTTGATGATATGAGTATTACAAGAGTTGATCTACCACGAGATCATAGAGGCTGAACCCTAGAGGCTAGCCTATGATTATGATTGTTGTTGTCCTACGGACTAAACCCTCCGGTTTATATAGACACTGGAGGGGGCTAGGGTTACACAGAGTCGGTTACAGAGAAGGAGATCTACATATCCGGATTGCCAAGCTTGCCTTCCACGCAAAGGAGAGTCCCACCCGGACATGGGACGGAGTCTTCAATATTGTATCTTCATAGTCCAACAGTCCGGCCAAAGTATATAGTCCGGCTGTCCGGAGACCCCCTAATCCAGGACTCTCTCAGTAGCCCCTGAACCAGGCTTCAATGACGATGAGTCTGGCGCGTAGATTGTTTTCGGCATTGCAAGGTGGGTTCCTTCTCCGAATACTCCATAGAAGATCTTGAATATGAGGATCGTGTCCGGCTCTGCTAAATAATTTCCACACAACACCGTAGAGAGCACAATATTCCACAAATCTAATCTGCTGACAACTTTTCATAGCGTGACATCACGCCGCGGCCTGGTTATTTATGAACTGTTTTTCCTAGCCTGCCACTACACGTATTGCGAGGCGGTTTTATTGGCACGTCGAAGCAGAGATCATGTTCCCCTTATCATGGGATTTTCATCAATACAGGTGTGGGTAACCCAACCGCGCCTGTTAGTATGGCTCCTCGGTTTTAGGCGAGTTCCAAACGGTCACGCGGAGGACCTTTATATTCACCCCCTTTATAAAGGGACCAAGGCTGTCCCTTTCTTCCCATGCTCGATCGTTTCCCCACCTCGAGTTCCAACACCCAAAGCTCAGGCTTAAGCGCTTCGGACCTTCAATCATGTCCGGATCCAACCTTCAAGGTCGGTGGATGGCCTCCTCTGTCACAGAGGAGGACATCAAGAAGCTCAGGGAGGCCAGGTATCTGACCGCTAAAATCCCGCACAGGCTGCCTGCTCAATGGCAGGTCATCCATACTCCTGAATCCAACGAGAGTGTCATATTCGTCTCCCACTTCCTCCAAGGGCTTGGCTTTAGTCCTGATCCTTCTGTAAGAGGACTCATGTTTTATTATGGGCTAGATTTCCACGATCTAGCTCCAGATGCCATCCTTCACATCTCGTCGTTTATCGTCGTGTGTGAAGCCTTCCTCCGCATTACCCCACACTTCGGCTTGTGGCTCAAGACCTTCGATGTGAAGCCGAAGATGATTGACGGGCGACACGCGGAGTGCAGAGGTGCTATAATAAGAAAAGGTGCCGGGGCCCTATGGCCAAAGGGTTCCTTCCCGGAGGTGTCCGACCTATGGAAACGGGAGTGGTTTTACATCACAGCGCCCCGAGGTACAAAGTGGGCGGTCGCCCTAGCCTTCCGCCTCAACTGGCGCCATGGGTCAACAAAGGGCTGGACTGGGGGCCAGTGAATGATGTGCTGACATTACAAAGCCGTATCCGAGATCTTCTCAAGGGGGATGTCAGCCTCGTCAAAATAATTCAAGTAATGCTAGTCCGTCGAGTCCTGCCATGCAAACGTCAACCTCTCTGGATGTGGGAGTTCAACCTAGAAGGACCGCAAACTATTCAACACTTCTTCGGCATGATGCTCGAAGGGATGTATCGGTTATTCTTCAGATCACGAATAAAGTGTCCGGACACCACCGAGGATGTGGGC